AAAATTAAAATTGGTCCAACCAAACACTATAATGGTTATTATTATTTCATTCATACAAATTTCGTATTTACAATCAAACAATAGAATGAGAATGGCCATTCCATTCTATTCCTACTTGCATTCCATTCCTACTTGCATTCTATTTCATTCTTGCACGTACACCAATCGCAGCATTAGTTGAAGTTATTTTAATACAATACAATATCACTCCTATTTATAGGAGATGATGCCGACTATGCCAGTCATATGCACCAATTACATTTGATTCCTTCGTGAAAATAATTCTGGTGCCATCATTACTTTTTCAAATTGCATGCCGACAATTTGCATATATATATAGTCAGTAGTAATATAGTTCTGTAATGACCCAGTCATTTCCTTCATTTCCTTTTTCCTCATAATTTTACGGACGAATTTTTTTCGTTGAAATTTCTTTTCTGAGTTCAGTTTCTCGTCGCTTAGTGTCGTCTCGAGTGCTCGGAAATGATTTTTGAGATTCTTTCCTTTGGATTGACAACTTCCTTTGAGGACCGAGTCATTTCCACATTTTTCATTTTTTTTTTACACTATTCACTTTTCGTCTTTTTCCCTATTTTGTCATCTTCCCTATTTTGTCTTTTCCCCGTTTGTCACTTTGTTGGCATAACCTCACTCCTTGTGTTTGGAGTTGGGTTTTGACTTCACGTATCATCATTCTAAGTGATTTCCACGAAATACGTATCTTTACTTTTGTAGAAAAGTACTCTGGTTGCTCCCGGTGTCTATAGGGGCATGGATGCATAGTTCTTTGGAATTATTTTCTTTTCTTGGGGTGTTTTTCGTAAATATATTTTGAAGATATTTTATTTTAGGGGTATCTAAGAAAATATCTTTTGGAAGATATTTTTATTCAGGGGCAGTTTTGCAGTTAACTCTTTTTGTAGGGGTCATTGTGCAATTAACGAAAGTTATTGCAAAATATCTCGTCTGGAGCCTGGATCCTCATACGGGATTCATTTTTGCATTTCGTCGAGTTGTATACTCATAGAATTTTCTTCTGGTCATTTTTCTCCAGTTTTAGGGCTTCTGGACCCAGTTGCCGCCGAACTTGTTTAGGGTATATCTCTCTGCTTGGGACTCGGTTTTCGATGCTGTTTCTTCCTTTGTTTATTTTTTCTCATTTTGAATCTTTTTTGTTCACAGAGTTTTGTCGTTTGAGCACATTTGCTCAAATTCTACTTTTCCGGACCCGGCGGGGCCCTTTCGGGGCAGTTTTTGAGATTTTCTATAGATAGGGGACTTAAAGAAGAAAAATCAGATTTTCTTCTTCTTCTTCCTCTCTTGGCCGGCAACCATGGATGCCCATGGGGCTGCTACTTTTTTTTCTTCTCCTCCACTTGATTTCCTTAGTGGAAACTCTTCGGCCTTAACGTTTATCGTTTCCCTCGACATGCTCTACCTTTCCCCCTTATTAGAATTCATTTCTGACTATTTCTTGAGTTTGGGTTTGAAGTCAAGTTGTGATTTTGATGGGGCTTCTTGTGGTTTCATGTAGATCGTGTTGTCCCCAACAAAACCCTTCGGATTCGGAGCACTTTTTTCGGTGGGCTTTTGAGATATTCATCTCAAATTGAGGTAGGGGATGTCTTAGGTTTATAATATTGTTATATTGATTGTTTTATAAGCATATACAACATGTGAACATGCCTTGTTCAAGTTTTTAGAATTTAATTTATTTATTTTCTTTGTTTAGGATTTAATTCTAATGATGGTATATAGTTTAGAATTAAATTGTGGCATGCTAGTAAATTAGGCCTTGGTGAGTTGTGTAACATATATTAAATTTGGGGCATTTGAATAAGAATTTCAAAATTTATTTAATATTTATCTTTTATAAAAGATTAATTCACATAGTTGTATCAAGCATTAAATCAACTTGTAATGTGATGTTAAAGTAGGCCTTGGTGAATTCTTTAACATATGTTAAATTGAGGATATTTGGATATGTTTGAAAATCTAGAGAAAAATTAATTAATTAGCTAAATTAATTTTGTTTTAAGTGTGTTAGTCACATAAATTGATATTGGATGTAATAGGTTGATAATTCCTTGAAATGTAGTCCGTTTAATTACCTTGTGAGCATGCTACTAATTTGTTGTAGAATTAGTACTTGTAGCCTCTAATGATGGTAATTTGACTTAGCATGATAGGTGATATCATTGTCTTGAATAGCTCGTTTAAATATATCTTGTATAGGTATATAACTTGTTAGAATATTACAATTTCTTACCTTGAGAGCTTGTTACTAAATTGTAGCTTATTTAGTACTTGTGGCTTAGTGTGGTAATGTGGCTCAATTGTTGTAAAATATTCTTGTTTTGGTGTATAAATTGCATATTGGAGGCTTGACATGTCATATGCTATCTAGACTTGAATTCTAGGACATGGTTTGTGTGGATTCAACTTTACTTGTGCATGTAAATTGATTCCTAGATATTATTTGAGATGTATAAGTTTGGTTTAACTTATTGATTTTGCATAAGTTTTGAACTTGTTATTTTTGGAAAGCTTGTAAGGACATATTTCACATGATGGCTAGGGTTTGACTCTAGTACGGAGACAAGAGTCTTCTAAGTCATAAGTGCACACTAGATAATACCTTGTGGGTCGTAATTGCCCATAATAACTTATGCATGTGCACACTAGGTAGTGCCTTGTGGGTCGTAATTACTCGGAAACACTTGCTTGGTCTAGTGACCACATGTCCTAGTCTTTCTACTTTTTTTTCGCATTCAATTTCAAGTTGTTAATCATGGATTACTTGTAGCTTGAGAATTAGTGTTTGCTTATGTATTTTGATCTCATTTAGTATACTTGAAACTCTATACTTGAACTTGTGTCCTTGTTGGTGTATCTAAACTCTATCTAGTGTACTTACGCTTAGTATGTTTGTCTTGTGTGTGCGGATTTCATTTTAGTATACTTGTGCCATGTATACTTGTCTTGTGCGTAAGTGTTTAGCTTAGTATACTTGTGTTTGTTTACTTGATTTATGAGTACTCTATACATATATCTTATACTTATGTATGTATGCTAGATATTGCTTATCCCGTTTAACATGATTTAGTATACTTGTGAGCATGTGTACTTGAATGTCGTGTATCATGTTTTAATATGGTTTAGTATACTTGAAAATGTATACTTGTATGTTATATAATATGTTTTAATATTGCTTAGTATACTTGAGTATGTATACTTGTATGCCATTGTTCACTTTAAATTGCATGAGTAACTTAGGATGATCCCTTAGTCTCACTTTGACATAGACGTTAGGTGGCATGAGCCCCTTTAACATGTCTCACCTTAAGGTGATATAATTGTAAAATGCTAGGTTGATGCATGCTCATCTCCTACGAGTAGCTTTATGTTACTCACCCACGTAGTGGGGACATTTTTCAGTTACAGGGACCTTGATTTGGGATGCACACTATGCCATGGAAGTTCGTAGACTTGAAGTATCATTTTCATGAAAATGTTGACATGAAATCCCATTTGTAGCTTTATATAACAAAACTTGTAATTTTGTTCTAAATATGTAATGTGTACATAAGTACACTTTTTGTAATGTATTTGACATGTATAACATGAGGCCAAGGGCCAAACATGTTTATATTTGCACTTGTACTCATTTGGCACTACATTTTGTTTAAAAATGTAATTCTTCCAACTTTGGAGGTTTGGCATGCAAAATTTTGTAAATGAGATGTCATGAGGCCATGGGCCATTGTAGCATGTTTAAAATGTCATATTACACTTGCTTGTATGTTCACATCATCACACACTTGCATGTAATGCAATTTGATCATGCAACGGGGGATTTATTTGAGACTTAGGAATTTCTCTCCATTTTTGGCACATAGCAAGTTCATTCTTCACATTTTCAACCTGTTTCGGTCGACTGGTGGCTTGTTTCGGTCGACCGATGCTCTTTTGGTTTTAGTTGCACAGTAAAAAGTCCAATTCTAGTAGCCATTTTTCATTTCGAGCCACAAACCGGTCGATCGATTTGTCATTTCGGTTGACCAAAATGAAGGCTCATTTTTCTTCTTTTTTCCTGGCTTACTTCGGCCGACTGAAGCTCCATTTCGGTCGACCGAAATGGAGCTGCCTTGTGGGTTTTGTTTGGTTTGTTGCCTAGACATGTTAACTTCGTTTGTTTGTTCCCACAGGACCTTGTTTATCTTGTTTGAGTCATTCTATGGCGCACATAGTCTAGTTTGAACTAGATCTTGCTTCTTTGGTTGTCATTGGTGCCATAGGGTACCAAGTGATCTTTCTATTCTAGCTTTCGCTTCCGGTTATTCGTTTGGGTTCCATGACCTCATGGAAGGTCATCTTAGGGTCTTAGAGGTGTGTTATGCCTTAAGAGACCATTATCTTGTATGTTTTTTGCTTCCGCATCTGGATCCATTATCGGGTCAATCTTCGGTTCATCATAGGACACTGGGTTGAAAAATCCAAGGTCACGACAGTTCGGAGCCCCACTATATATATATATATATATATATATATATATATATATATATATATATATATAAAACAAAAATCTAGTTTTTGCACCTAACCCACACTTTTTAATTGGAGTACAACTTATGTTGTAACATGTTGAAGATGGTTTTTGTATTTAAAAAAAAAAAAAAAAAGTATTGTTAGATAACCTAGAATAGAATCTTAATTTTAGCCCCCGGGGGCTTGGCAGTGATGGTAGGGGCTCGGGGCTGGCATCCAATCGGCCAGTGTTCGACTCCTACCAAGCCTTCCAATTTCTCCGACTTACCTGGTGTATCCTTGGAGTGAAGCTCTGCACCCCTAGGTTTGTAGTTTAGGGTGGGTCCCGAAGGAACCCTGCCTAGGTGAGTTCCTGGTGCTAAAAATAAAAAATAAAAAACCTAGAATAGAATCTTGAGGAGTATCTCATGTGCATTGCCTTGCGCGCTGTCATTCTCCCCTATATATATATATATATATATATATATATAATCAGAAACCTCAACCCTAAAATTATTCAAAGGATCTCCTTGAGTGTGTAGACTTGTAGTGGTGTACTAATCCAACAATTTAATTTAATTTAATTTATTAATTATTCATGCATCGTACTCGTAGATTGAAATGATTCGTTTGGTTAAATCAAGTTTTACATTTTGACAGATAAAATCTTGTGCTACTTAAATTTTATTCGCTTCTTTTAGTGTTGAGTTCTTCAACTTGTACATGTATCTTGTATTTTTGTATGTGTCCTAGTTTCTTCACATTACAAGAGCACTTTCTACACTAAAAAATAATTATGAAGTTATAAAAGTCCACACCGGCAAGCTGGACAAAGGAACTCCAAGCACGTGAAGTTTTGTGTTCGACTTTATCTGAGGTAGTCAATTCGAATTTAACCTGTGACTTCTGTGTGTATATATATATATATATATTCTATATCTATGTGTCGGTTAAATATATAAATCATATACCACACCTATCTAAAATTCCATCAACCACCATGTCATATATTATCCTACTATTTTTTTTTTTTCTTTATTTTTTACGTTCTTAAGGAGTTTTAAAAATTATGTCAATTATCAGTAGTGACACAAGTAAATTTTACGAGAGAGAGAACTAATTATTTTTCTGAACAATACTAGTAATTGCCACTTCATGGTTTTAGTGATTGTGATGGTATTTATTTTTTGTGCCTTGAAACAAAGTTGAATTAAAAAATTTACGCTTTTTAAAATCAAACAAGTTTACAATACTAATTGCTTAGTAAGAAAATTACATGAACATAAAAAAAAAAAAAAAAAAAATGCATGAGAAAATCGTCTATTATTAAAATCTTATCAGATATGTAATTACTTCAATATATTATTACATTATCCAGGAAAAATGAAGAGAGAGTAAATTCCTATAAAGAGACTCAAGTGAAAAAAATAATAATAATAATAATAATTCAGAAGAAAGGGAGTTTTTTCTCACCTTATAACACTACGTTTTTCTTTTTAGATGCACTTGCACCAATAAGAGTCAGAAATTCAATGCAGGGGCACAACACAATGTTAAAAATAACAATTAATTAATTAATTAAAATCAGTGAAGATAACATATATGGATTCTTCAAATCACGAGGCAAATAGAAAAAAGTTATTGCAAAATAATATGATAATTAATGAGTAGTATAAAAAAAGATAAATTATTTGACAAATAAATATCTAACAAATATAAGAAAAATAAGAGAACTTTGAAAAAAAAAAAAAAAAGAGTTTGATTAAAAAAAGAAATTTTAATTTTTTGTAAGGAAATTAAACGAATTTAAAGGATGAAAGAGTAAAAAAAAAAATAAAAAGTTAGGAGATCAATTTTAAAAAAAATAAAAAACTTTAGGGGTCATTATATAAATTTTTCATATATAAAGTAAAATATATATATATATATATACACAATATATATTATAGTGGCCGAGCCAGGTCAAGACAGACGTCACATGCCCCATTAGGCATTAATTGGCTTCGCTCTCTGGCATAGATCCTCTAATGGGCACACCATGGTACTACATATTATATATGCACGAGGTTGGGTGGAGATCAGTACGTACATATGGGGCGAGTTCCACTTTGTTTTTGAAACCATACCATATGTGAATGATCTCCGACCTTCACTCATGTAAAGGACTCAATCCTCTCTAAGAGGGGCGGCCTTGAGATTCTCAATTTTTGAGAGATTCTAAACGAATTTTTAAATAACATGCCATTTATACGTAAGGTTTCGCAAGTGCAAAAAAATTATAAGAGTACAAAATTTTTATTAAAATGAGACAATTAGCACATAAAATATATTAATATTGAAAATATACAAAATAAAACCCGATCTTGGTGCTTTATAAAGGGCACAATATAATTTAAATAAAAAAAACTAAAAGAAAATATTCAAAACAACTCAGTCACAAAAATTAAATGTTCAACTAAACTCTTTTTGTTTGTATTGCTCAAAAACTTAAGAAAAGCTCTTTTTTAAAATTGAATCAATTCTTCTTCTTCCTTTTTTTTTTTTTTTATGCCAAAATTCAAAATTTCTAGCAGACAAAACTGTCATAAAAATGCAGAAATAGAAATTATACAACAGAAAAATGTCAAAAACGTTGAGAGATAAAAAATAATAATAATAATTAAAAAAAAAATAAGAAACAAAAAAAAAAATTCACAATCAGTTTGAAAAGGACAACAAAAAACGTTTAAAAAAACTCACAACCAGTAACGAATAGAACATAAACACAAGAAATAGAATCACTAAGGAAGAAGATCAGAGACAGAACAACAACAAAATTATACTTCAGAATATTAAAACAAATTATTTAACCAAACTCTAGATTCCTACAACTCAAAGTCATAGTATGAACTTCATACAACTCCAGATTCTGCAAAATGAACTTCAACAAAATGAAGTTATATTGTTATTGAACAGCCAAAAATATATATACTAAACAGAGAAAAAAGTTGGAAAAAAGGAAGCACACCTTTGACAGTTTGACTTTGAGTAGTGATTGAGCGAGCTTTGGAGCTGTTGAAGGAGGAATGAATCGGCAAACTTTCGCTTTGATATTTGAAGCTGAATCCGAATGTCTAGGGATCATTCACGAAACAGAATAGAAGAAGAGAGTAAGGTGCTCTTTGATAAAATTGGAAATTAAGCACGAAAAGTTTCAAGTACTAATTTTAAGCGTTGAAATTTTAAATATTGAATATATTAATCAGTAAACTTGTTTGATATTGTATTAATTTTAAGTGCTGAATTCATTAAAATTATTTATTAAATGCAAAAACTAAAATCTGAATATTGTATATATTACATTTTTGCCTTAAATATCTTCTATATATAATATTATTATAAAATATACTGTATTAAAACATAAACATATAGAAAAGATAATGAATTTCACCAATGAAATATATTAATTTAACAATGGATATTAATGTCAAATCTGAGTATAAAAATTCAAAATCAACATATAAAATGAATAACTTATGAAAATGAAATATTTAGGAAGAGATTAGATTTCACGCACAAATCATTCGAATTTTATTTATATAGTAGATATTTGTATTATAACAATGGTGTGAGGGTTTCATTGCATGATTATATATATATATATATATATATATATTTATATTTATATTTTAAGTCAATGAAACATTTGAGAAATTGGAGTAAACTAAAAACAAAAATCTATCGGAACCTAAAGAGGGAATAGAAATGCAAAGTTGAAATAGAAAGTACAGCAATAAGGTTAATTTAAGAGTGAACAAGTGATGGAGAACCTAAAAATATAATATTTGATGGTAACTGTTAGACCAAGAGGGAGTGTGAATTGGTCTAATTAAACTTTTTCAGGTTAATCAATTCAAACACATATGATGCACAAAACACAAGATATACAAGAAAACCCTCTCAATAGGGAAAAACCTTGGTTCTTGGCCTCAGCCAATAAATCATCCACTAGCTGTATGTACCTTGTTACACACTCAGCTGTCTCACTCTCTGCACACACCCAAGTACAAGAATAAACACTAATTTTCACAACCAATACACACACTAGTTCACCAATGTGCTCACAAGCACTCCCTCTGTTCTAAGCAACCTTGCTTGGACCCTAAAACTCTCAATAGCTTAGACAACCATGGGGTGAGGTATCAAGGCCTCACTACCATTTACAATAAGGTGTTAACACACCACTTATCACAACACCACAAGAATAGATTGAATATACAGCTTTAAAAACTCAATAAGGTGAAACCCTAGCTTCACAATTCTGCACAAGAAGGATATAACTGTCAACACACAATGCAGCTTCACTTAATGATCAGACTAGGTTCCCACAACCTTGAATAGAAGAAATACACTTGCTTGAGATATGAACTTGGTGAAACTAGCAAAGTAGAATAAAGAAAGCACACAGCAACCTTGTATTTCCCAAAACCCTAGCTTTGAGCTTCAAAGGGTAAGATTGTAAGTCAGCCTCAGAACCAACCCAATTTCAACTTCCTCTATCTTCAATCGGTAGAATACACTTGCTTAGTAGATAAGATCAAGATAAGTAGCAAGGTATAGCATATATACCACAGTTTAAGCTAAAACCTCAATAAACCTTAGGAATTTAGCTTCAATGATCAACTCTGCAATATAGCTTCAGTTTAGGTTTGCAATAGACTCCCATAGCCTTGTATCATCAAAATAAACTTGCTTGATTGAAGAGAGCAATTTAAACAGCAAATTACAACAATGAACACACATAAGAAGGCTTAACCTCAACAAGCCCTAGTTTTCAAGCTTTAAAGGGTGAATCTGTAAATTAGCTTTGCAACCAGCTCAAACTCCACTCCCCCAGTCTTCAATACGCTAAATATACTTGCTTAGATTTTTAGAACAAATTAACAAGCAAGGTATAGACTTGTATAAGATTAAAACAGCTTCTTTACAGTTTAAAAGGCAGTTTTCAGTCTTTGTCAAACACCACCTTGAGGTAGTTTAAAATCTCTTCAAACAATGACTCCCTCAGCTTAAAAATGATGTATCACATTTGATTTAAAGCTGGGACAAGACACACAAGGACAAAGCAATGAAGCACAAACAACACCAATTTAAAGCTTACAACAGGTGTATTTTCAGCATCTGCAACTTTCTGTTTTGAGGGGTAAATTTGTAATTTCGAAACTGAAAACTCTTGAATTTAATTCTCACAATTTTTCTTCATCATATTACACTTGCTCAAATCATCATAATTCAGTTTTCAACAAGTTAATATCAAATCTCAGTCCAAAGAAGGCTTCACAAGACAGTTTCTGCTGCAGCCCTGTTATGAGGGTATTTTTGGTTTTTCACAGCTACAACAATCTGGATTTTGGTTCTATCAAGAGTATATTAACTGTGTAGACATGCTCATACGAATAACTCAACAAGCACAACAACATATTGCAATTTCAGTACCCAAAACAGACTATAAAACTGCTATAAGCTGAAGCAAGTGTGATTTACAGTTCTAAATTAGAACAAGTCATCCCTCTGTCCAAACCACAACTAAGACAGCCTCAAATCAACAAACTAGACATGCTCAGATGATAAACAGTCATGGTATAGCATGGTTCAAACAAGTTAAGCTCAGGATTATAGAATTAAACCAGAAATGCAAGCTAAACTTGAGGTTTGAGATCTGAAAATTGATACCAGCCTTAATATGTTGTCTCAGGCCACTTCAGCTGATGTAAACCCTCAAGATACACTTGCATGGACCTTGTTCAAACTCCAAAAGTAACTACAACAAATTTTCACCTCCCAATCCTCATTGTTCGCACTAGAAAACAACATCACAGGTCCTTATGTTCTTCAGTAAGTTAGCACATGCTTCATACTGATTTCAGTGAATAAATTCAGCTCAAAACCTTAAGTATTTCTCTGAAAGTCACTCAAACTTTTTTAGCTCTCGAGTCTCTCATACACAGCCTCACAATGTAGCTCAAAGGACTCTATTTTTGTGCTCTTAGCTGCAGGCTACTATAATAACATTTATATACTAGTCTTATTGCTGCCCTAGTATGGATAAGATTGAGTCACCAACCACCAATCATTTGATGGGAATATTCAGATAGAATACACCTTGAATAGATCAAAATACCCCTGTACAATTCTCAACTTGTGTCACAGCATACACCTTTTTGCAGCCCTTAAGTGTCAATATACAATTCTGATGTATGCAGCCCAAAATTGTGATTCTGAGCATATCCTTCTCTCACTAGGACCACTGTTCATGTGGCACATTTCTGTGAGACCTTCAACAGCCTTGAAAAAACAATGTAGTACCAGAATTGCCCTCACAATAGTCTTGTAATTTCTGCCACATACATATGTGAATATAAACCAGGATATGAACACTGTAATGTATTACAACTCAATGACATAGTGTAATATATTAGCACACATAGTGTAAAGACTAAAATACCCTCGTGACAGATACCAATATGTGAATGTATAGCCTTGAACACTTTTGACTTGCACTTGACATTAATAAGGCAAACCTCAACCAACAGTAACATTGAAATCATTTATCGTCTTTTGCAATAAGCGTTAAGCAAGACCGTGTGGCTTAAAATTTTTGTTTGTTTTAAACTAGTGCGTAATATTTTAAGTGGTAAATCAAACACACTAATTTTAAAAAATGGCTTACCATGTTCTGTGTTAAGCACTGAATAACGATATCAAATAAATGTGTGTTTGATTTTGATTCGGTTGATTAGTGTGTTTGGGCCCTTTAAGCTTGTTCGTAACTTTTTTATTTATTTATTTAATTTTTTTTTTTTGCCCATATCCTAAATTTGAGGACCTTTCAAATTCGAGGTCTAGGGAACCGCCTCAACCGTCTAGGCCCAGGGCTGCCATACTCTCTCATTGCACTGCACACCACCAATAAATTTTCTTTCTCTTGTTCTTTTTAAATTTTTATTATTATCACAGAAACAATAATTGTCAGCAAATTTTTTCTACAGACCTTGATATGAAACATTTATAGAGATTCAAATGAGCAATGAAAATGTGACTTATGGCTCATTTAGCATGCTTTCTGTTTTAGGTATTTTGTTTTTGGATAAAATCGAAATAGTATTTTTGTTGTACGAGTGATTTGGAAAAAAAATCGAAAATACGTTTGGGAATAATATTTTGTTGTGGAAATGTCAGAAAATAAAACATGCACAGTTATGGTTTTGGGTCATGCACAGTTATCAAAATAATTTTTTGGTATTTTAATTTTGGACCACTGTTCACGAAGTATTTTTATACTATATAAAATAAAATACGACTACACCAAATATACTGTTATTGTTCAAAGTAACATTATAACATTTTAAAAATAAAAATAATAAAAATAAAACACATGCCAAACGAGGGCAGAGGCTTTTAACTTTTATGCCAACGGACTCCATAAGTGTTATGGAAGATTCCATGTGAGCATGTATTTGTGCCCACCACATGGGATACTTACACCACATATTTTATTGTCCATTTTAAGTGTCGGTTGAATCGGTGTCTCGGAATTTTCCTGTTTTTCAATAGACAATAATATTTTATTGTCTATTTTGGAATTTTCCTTACTGTTTTTCAGTGCTGTTTTTATGGTACCATGCATACTTGGACCAATAAATAGCAATCCTAGAAAAGATGAGTTCTTCATAAGCTTTGATTTCATATTATTTCACGAGTATGCTATCTACCATATTAATTTCAATATGTTATTAAATTACTATACTTTATATGGCTAATTGTATCAAAATCTTTTGAATTTTTATTCATTTCCTTATAATAATTACAGCATTAATAGTAAATTTGTGAAGGATTAATATTTTATTCAACACAATTATTCAGTCTTGTTTTCGGTTAGTCATTTCTTTTGATTGTTAAAAGGGCAGTTCTTTAGGAAAATATAAAATAAAAATTATTGTATTTTTCTATAAGGCAAGCCAAAGAATTTAGTCAGAGTGCTTTCACTAAATTTCACTTAATAAGGAAAATTCCAAACCCTAATCTAGAATTTCACCTTAATATAGTTTCTCATGATTATGAAAATTTGCAGATATAAGGTACATACAATGGCTGAGGATTCAAGTGGGTAACTGTTGCAGGAATGAATCACCTTATCAGGTTTGCTTTAGTTGTCATTTCATTTAACAATCATAAATACTTAATCAAAATTTTTCGTATATAGGTCTAATTATTATATTCGGATGGATAAGTGTAGTTTGTCGAAATAAGAGGAAAAGAAATGAAACGATTTGAAAGAAAATATTATTTTTTTATTTGATAAAAAAAAAAAAAGGAGAATTAAAGAATTTGAAAGGAGAATGATCTTAAAGTAAACCCCTTTATAAAATAATTTTTCAAAAACTCTTAGCCAAACACATTTTTCTATAATTTTTGATGTTAACATCCCCTACTTTTTAGAAAATACTCCTCCTAATTTGTAATATTATTAGTTTGACCCTACACACATACATGTTTTTGCATAAACCCTTTATAATACTCCTTATTTCTTTTCTCATTCTCTCTATAATCTTTTTCAAATTCAATTTAAGGTGTTTTTTATTTTATTTATTTATTTTACGCTTTTTAAGATTAATACTATTTCTCTCTCACAGTACGAAAAACAGCCTTAGACCTTCTAAGTTTTTTTGGAATGCAGAGAGGAAGAATACTTGGATGAGACCAAAGCTGGGAAGTGGACAACCACTTTGAATGAGGCCACTTTGGACCCGTTTGATCCAATTGAGAGGATTAAAAAAGGGTTTATGCAATTCAAGACCAACGAATTCGAGTATGTTAACAAAAGGTTTATGGCTACTAGAATTAATTATTATTTTTTAATGCTGTGAATTTAGTTTCGATAAATTGTTTTACTTTTACCTATTGATGTGGATCTGGGTGAGTTTTGCAGCCCAGATCCAAAATATTACAGTCAACTTGCAGAAGCCCAGGACCCCAAGGTAATAATAATTTTATTTATTTATTTATTTTGTCACCATTATTATTATTATTATTATTATTTTTTTAAGTGAAGAGCCCCAATGTTAGAACCATTATTATTATTATTTTTTGGAGCCTTGTTAATTCTAATATTCTAAACATCATACCGCCAATTATGTGTTTGAAAATTTAAGGATTAAAATTACACTCTTTCAAATTATACTTTAAAAGTAGATAAGATTAGAGTTCAAATCTCACGGCTACCTTAATAATTAGAGGTGGAGTGACTTATTATTTTCTACATCTACATGATTGTTAACATTATGTATTTTTAGTGACTAATTTTTTGAAATTTGGTATAAATTTTTGATGCAGTTTTTAGTGTTTGCATGCTCAGACTCTCGAGTCTGCCCTTCTCATATCCTAAACTTTTGGCCAGGGGAAGCCTTCATGTCCCGAAGCATTGCTAATTTGGTCCCTGAATTTAACCATGTTTTTCAAACACCCCTAAAACCAGATTATTAAAGATAATTCAATGAAATATTTTTTTAGTCCTGCTTGATTTACTTTGTATAGTCTTATTTCACACACTGATAATGTGGAAATGTTTAATATCTACTACACAGGTTAGATATTGTGGAATTGGTGCAATCATCGAATATGCACTCACGTCTCTTCAGGTCATATTTTATTCATTTTTTAATTTTATTTTCCAAACTCTATTTTCCAAAAAAAAAAAGAAAAGAAAACCACTTTTAGTTTATTTTCACATTTATTCTTGGGGAATGTCCAAGTCTATTAATATATTGAAAAAATTTATAGGTGGAGATTGTTCTGGTCATAGGGCACAGTCATTGTGGTGGACTTAAGGGTCTTATGTCTGGTGAAACAACCTCTAAGTAAGGCTTGTCACACATTGACGTGGCTTTAAAAAAACATATATCTTTCACCATTAAATTGTTGTAACTTTATTCATGTTCAACATTTTTTAAGGCAATAATCTATTGTGATGTGTAGTGACTTCATAAATGACTGGGTCAAAATTGGCTTACCGGCTAAGGCCAAGGTGATATCAGAGTCCGGCGATTTATCATTTGACGACCAATGCCATATTTATGAAAAGGTAATCTCCCAATTTTGACCTTCTTACCCCCTTTGGCACCCATTTTATTATACTTTATAGAGATTCTCCTTAATGAATATTAATGTTGCGAGTAAGAATATCGAATCGATATTTTGGAGGAAATTTAGTTTAAAATTTCAACCAAATTTTTTTAAATTTAAAATCCAAGACACTCATTCGATACCCTTAAACATATTTTGGGTTGGTTTGACTACGATTTTCATTTTTTTGTTTTCAATTACATTTAAAGAAAATGTAATTTTTTTATTGTGATTGATTTTGAAATAGAAATATGTTTGCTTGCACAATTTAAAAATGCCAAAAAATAAAAAGAAAAATGTTTTGATAATTACGTTATACTGATTTTATTTCAAAAAATCAGGCTACAATTATTCAGCTATGGTAGCCAAAAAAGAAAAAAGAAAAAGAAGTGTGAGCATTATTTTGTTTAGTTCAAAACGTGACAAATGTTACTAAATATGTTTTTGATTAAAAAAAAAAATAATAATATTTTTAAGAGGTCTCTCTCATGGGAAGAGTCATGAACTCTCCCGATTTAATCACTAGACTAAAGAGTTTTAAGTTAGATTAGTAAATGTATAGTGACACTTCAAAATTCACCGATTGTACTAACTCACTGGGTTATCGAGTCATCTACAATTGAACAGTTTTTGAGATGTGTGAAAAATCAAATAAATTATATAATACATGCAAGTTAAAAAAACAGGAGAATTCATAGCTCTTCCCATGAGATAGATCTCTTAGGAGGCATTACTTAAAAAAAAAAAAAAAAAAAAAAAATTTATTTATCTATAAACCTTTTTCACACAGCATTCATAAACCCAGTTGCACTACTGAATTTCAAAGGAGTTGATGATATTTAATACTAAAAATACAAATTATCTGTAAATGTCAATTATGCAGGAGGCAGTGAATTTGTCATTGGTGAACCTATTAACTTATCCATATGTGAGAGATGGAGTGGCTAACAAAACTCTACAATTGATGGGTGGACATTACGACTTCGACAACGGAACTTTTAGCCTCTGGGGTCTTGACTTCGGCTTCAACTCGCCTCTGGAAATTTGAGTTTTGAACATTATATGTCAAGACATATATATATATATATATATATATATATAGTTTCCTACTTTCTCTCTCTAAATATGTGTGTTGTGTGTTGCTATGAGCAATAATCCATGTTAAATAAGATAGAGCACCTCTGGTGTGTTTTTACCATATTTTGGTATTTCATTGTAGTTTAAAAGCAACTGTTGTGTATTAACTTCCTTTGGGGATAAGATAATATATAATTAAGTCTTTTTGATCATACTGAATTTGAAATACTAGGTTAAGAAGCATAGACATCTAAAAGTATATTTATAAAAGAATGTTGATTCTACACGAATGGTTATTGGAATTTTCATTCCAATAATTATATTTCTTAAGCACATGCAAGAGATAAGGTCGATGTTTTCCCTTATTGAACAATTAGAATCTAATTAACGAAGGACATTGACAAATTAAAATTCGAATGTGTTACATTTCCGACAAACATCTATACTCAGGTATATAGGAAGGTTCATAGTGTCTATTTTCACTGTTAAGGAACTCAACTTTAATGAATATGGGTGTGCCGTGGGCGGGTGCGAAATACTGACAGACTACTACATTGGGCGAGCTACGGGTGCACAATTCCACATTATCTGGGTAATGGAAAAGTAAAGTGATGATATGTGGTGGTGTTATCTCTAATTGGTATTATGATACCTCCTAATTTCGGAACACGGATTGATCAAATCCGTGCACAAAATCAGGGGATTGCAAAACAATTAAAGTATTTCAAACAAGTACAGATTACAAAATGAAATAAAAGAATAAATAATACGCTAAAGAAAACTAATAAATAATACTTTCATTAATTAATAAACCTCCAACAGTTACAACTTGGGAATTCCTTAATTCAAGGACCCCTTAACCAAAGGTTACCATCTAGAAAATCCATAAACAAATACTACATTCAAATAGAGTAATAATGTCCTACTTTGAAATAAATAGAAAAAATAGATAAGTCTCCCAATTGCGGATTATCAAACTTGAGACTTAGACCTCTAGTAACCTGAAAGATAAAAATGGTGGGTCAAACCCACGAGCAAACTCTCTCTTCCAAGCCTCTGAAAACTAATAAATAGATCATCTCTGACCAAAACCAAACGCAATAAAGTTTTTATCTTTCATATATAATGTGTAATGACCCAGTCATTTTCCTTTTTTCCTTTTTTTCGGCATTTTTTTTTCCGAGTAACCTTAGGGTTTTGGAGACCCGAGGTAGGGTTTTGAGTTCGATTTTGTGCTTGGATTTGACTTCCGACTTCACGTGCATTTACATTATTTTAATTCCATGAAATGCATAGTCTTACTTTTGTAGAAAAGTATGCTACTTTTTTACTTTTCCTGTAGTGGTATGGATGTATCATTTCTTCAGAAACATTTACGCTTTTGTGGTACTTTGTGTAATTATATTTTTGTAATTATTTTTGTCTTAACGATCATTTTGTAATTTATTTTGCAAGATATTTTGGGAAAGGACCATTATGCAATTTTTGGAAAGTCTGACAAATGTCACACTCTCATTAGACCACTTTTAAGCATGTGGGTAGAGAGACTTGGAAGCTTGTTTTGGTGACAAGTATTGGGTGTAGATTCACCCACTTGTTGGCTTGGGATGTTGACAAGTGTAGGCTTGTGATTAAGCCTTGTGAGGGTGCTTTGGATGGTGACAAATGGAGGGTGAAGATTAAGGGCGAATCCAGGAATTGTCAATTGGGGGGGGGGGGGGTAGTATTGAATATAAATTTAATTACACAATTTCATAAGCAAATTTTTTTTGAATGGGTTAAAAGGGGGGCTAATACTACTATTAATTTTTTTTTTTTTTTTTTAAATTGGGCTGAACATACTATACTTTTTTTTTTTTTTTTTTTGGGGGGGGGGGGGGGGGGGGGGCTCAAGCTCACCCAAGCCCCCCTCTGTGTCCGCCACTGGTGAAGATTCACCCACTTGTAGATTTTTGGTAGCTTAGGATGTTGACAAGTGTAGCCTTGTGATTAAACCTTGTGACGGTGCATTAGATGGTGACAAATGGATGGTGAAGATTCACCCATTTGTAGACTTTTGGTTGGTACACTTGTTGGCTTAGATTAGTGACAAGTGTAGGCGTGAGATTAAGCCTTGTGAGGAGCCCTAGGATTGTGACAAAAGGAGGGTGGATGTGTGTGTGAGAGAGAGAGGCAGTGTTGGTGTGTGCGTGTTTGGCTAACATAGCCATTGTGAGTGGGAAAAGGTGGGGAAAATTGACCTTCCTCACTTAACCCCATTGCAGCCCACCTGAAGCCTCTTTGTTAATTTTCAATTTTTGAACCCCTTACCTTGGAAATTTGTTCTTGGGCTCTGAAGGTCATATCTTCCTCTCTTCTTGATCTAGAACACCTTTTCTAGTTTTTCCATTTGATGTTGTTTGTATGGGATTCCAGAGGGGTGAATCTCGGGTTGGCAGTTTGAGGAATCCTGAAACCTGTTTTGCCATTTCTGAAATTCGACACCCTTGCTTGAGGAATTTGGTCTCTCACTTTGAAGATCATATATTCCTCTCTTCTTGATCTAGAAGTCAATTTTTTAGTTTTGTATTTTGAGTTTTTTTGCGTTGGATTCTAGAGGGACAGTTCTCTAGTAAGGTAGGGGTTGTAGTATGTTTATACTCTTGTAGTTTGATTTGTATTTGAGGTTTTATATATATTGAAAGCATGCTTACTGAATTGTAAGATTGCATTTAGATGTAAATTATACAACCTTGACTTAGGGTTTAATAATTCAAAGCATGCGAAGCATATATATCTTGTTGCAAGTAAATTGTTCCATTTGCTAGATTTCTTGATTCTAGAGAATCTCTTATTGAGATAATGAATTCTTGTGGAATATTATTGCTATTTACCTTGTGAGCATATTACTACATTGTTGAGGACTTAGTAACTGTGACTTACTATGATGGTGAATTGATTTAGCATGATAGGTGGTATCATTGTTTTGTGTAGGTTATGTACACATCTTGTATAAAGTGTATTGTACATTTAGTTGATTACTAAATTCTAGAGATTTATCTTGTTGTAATAATGAACTCTTGTAGAATCTAAACTAATGTTTATCTTGGGAGCTTATTACTAGATTGTGGTATATTTAGTATTTGTGGCTTACATGATGGTAACTTGATTTAGTTGGCATTTAGTATCTTAAATTGTGTAGCAAATTCACATGTTGATACTTGTCATTTTGTATGCCATTTTAGAATTGAAACCCTAGGATATGGATTGTGCGGTTTCACCCTACTTGTGCATGGAAGGTGGTTTCTTGCATTATTAATTGTGTATGAGTTATGAACTTGTTGATTTTAAGAAAACTTGTAAGGATATGGATAATGATACTGCTAGGACTTGGCTCTAGTACAGGAGGTATGAGTTCTCCCTACATTATTAGAATGCGCACTAGGTAATACCTTGTGGGTCGTAATTACCCGGAACAAGTTGTATGGTCTTGATTAAAACCGAGATCACATGTCTTAGTTTTTTCGATTACTTGATTTCACATTAAATTTCAAGTTGTTAATCGTTGATTACTTGTAGCTTGTGATTTAGTGCTTGAGGTTTTTATTTATGTTTAGTATACTTGTGCCTAGTATGCTTGTGCATTGTTTTGAGGTTTTATTTATTTTTAGTATACTTGTGCCTAGTATGCTTGTGCGCTGTTTTGAGGTTTTATTTACATTTAGTATACTTGTGTTTAGCATGCTTGTACGTTGTTCATTTCATTTCAATTACTTATGCAGCTTGAGATGATCCCTTAGTCCACATTGTAACATAGACGTTAGGTGGAATGATCCCTTGTATACGTCTATATTAAACTTGCAAGACATTTGAAGCTTTAGGGTATACGCATGCTTTTCTTCCTACAAGTAAAGTTTGGTTGCTCACCCTAGTTGTTTGGGATATTTTTAGATGAATAAACCTTGTTTTGGGATGCATAACATCCCTAGGTTGGCTTGGTAGCATTGGAGTATTTTTATGCATTTTACAAGCATGCAAGTGTTAGCATGTCTTGGCTTCTTTTGATGTAGTAATATTTACTTAAATATTTCATTTTGATGCATTTAACATGATATGTAATAAAGCCAAGGGCCACACACTTGATGGTTCATGTATATGATTTGAAATTTCATGTTTTCACCTTTGTATGAAAATTTGCTAACTTTGGAGGTTTGACATATCATTTTTGGTAAAAGGAATGAAATAATGATTTGGAATTGGCAGCTGTGGTCTTTGCCTTATGTATTTAGAGGCATTATTTGTTGGGAGAGTCCTTCAGATTATTTAGTGATCACAAGAGTCTGTAATATTTGTTCATTCAGTGGGAGCTGAATATAAGACAGCGCAGATGGTTGGAGTTTGTAAAAGACTATCATTGCTCAATACAATACCATCCAGGGAAAGCGAATATGGTGGCAGATGCACTCATTCGCCGACCCGATACTAGTCTTTCTGCTTTATTCACCACTGAGTGGAATGCTTTGAAGACAGTTAATGAGTTGTCTGATGCTTTTATGGCTTGCATGGTAGTTACACCTTCTCTCATTCATAAGATCTTGAAGGTATAACTCACAGATCAGCAGTGCATTGACAAAGTTGTAGAGATAGCTTCTGGGGAGGTTCCATTTTTTTTATATTGGGACTGATAGAGGTTTGACGTTCAAATGGCGTTTAGTAGTACCTTCTGCTGATGATTCAATGAAGGATGTGATGACTGAGACTCATCATTCTGAATTTTCTGTTCATCCAGGAGGAGACAAGATGTATCAAGATATGAAGCGGCAGTTTTGGTGGGCATGTATGAATCTTAGTACTGCTTATCATCCTCAGACAGATGGTCAGACTGAGAGGGTTAATCAAATCATGGAGGATATGTTTCGTTCATGTGTTCTTGACTTTAAGGGCCATTGGGAGGATTATTTACCACTGGTGGAGTTTGCATATAACAACAGT